CAGGATCAGATCCCGGATGTTTGAATAAATTTAAACACATTTATTTGTACCATTAAACCATCAGTCCCGGGTGTCATGGCTGGCTTTCTAGTGTTTGTCAAAACTGGGTTTTTGAGATACACTCCAAAGCTCAAAGATTAAAGTTTGTGAATACTGACTGGACGGATTAAACAAAACTTCTGATAATCTCCAAAACTAATGATTTACTTCCACACATATATCGCATACACGCAAAATAAAAACATATACAATCTAACAATTACGTAAGAAATTTTATTTACCTAAGTTGTTGGGGAAAGGGCTTTGGGGGGGGGGTATTAACAACAAGGTGTGACTGAATTTTCTAACTCAGAGAAGCTAAGAGGGAAGCTGTGTAAACCTGCACACCCTTAGAGCAATAGTGTGTTGGAGGGACACCCACCTGCAATACACTGTTCAAAAGGTAATACCAACAGGAACCACAAGTATTGGACCCACCAGAGAGGCTGCTGTGGAGTAAGAGCCTTGCCATGTTCTAGAGAGAGATGAGAGAGCAGAATCTGACCTCCCCAAAAGGCAGGGAGAAGTCACCCTTGCCCCTAATCCACTGGAGGGAGGGGTCCCACCATCCTGAACAACAGCAGGGAACAATAATCTCTCTGCATTCTACGGAATTTATGAACAAGCAAACACTTCCTGAAAAATCAATAGAGTATCTTGATTTTAGAAAATGCCAACACACCTTTCAATAATCACAAAACGCAGGTTGAGCTGCTTTCTATTGTAGCTCTTTTCACTTAATGAGCTAAGAAATGAGTATTGGACATTGAAAGAGACAATAAAAACCCAAGGCATAACTGATAAAACAATTAAGACGTATTTTCAACTACTCAGTTTTATTATAGACCGGTTATCTGTGTAAAAGGGGAAGGGGAACCTTTGAAGAAAGGATCATCTTCTAAGTGCTATAAGACTGAAAAACACAACGTAAACCTGCAGCTTAAGCCTGGTGAATGATCCTTGCTCTCAGAGTGAGATGGGATCTAGATTAGATTCCTGAAACCAAGTTCTCTGCTGGCCTACTCACTCCTCAAGATTCATAGTGCGAAATGGACCTAGGTGACATCAGTGCATTGAGATCCACCTTGTTTGTGTAGAACTGCCTGCACAAGATGCAAAGCAGTGCAGAATCAGACCCATGGCCTTTTCCTTTGCCCGAGAAGGTAAAAAGGTACAAGAGTACCATTAAACAACACACTCATGTCACACACAAGTCTCTTCCAGCCACCCTAATACAGCAGGTCTCCCTATCGTGAAACACAGATTCAAGCCCAGCCTCAAGCCAAGCCCCACTTACCCTCAGTGTATTTACAGCCAAGCACATGCTGAGGCATATAAGTCCAAGGGCCCCCCAGAGACTGGAGGCTCAAGCAAAAGTTCATGCATCCTGAAAAGACCCAACATAGAAGCAGCCAACCACACTACCACACAAGTCAGCAAATCACCTGAGCTCAGCTCTTCCTAGTCTAGTGGGTGACACAATGTGCTGACACAATGCACCTGAGCTACAGCCAACTGATAGCTAGCAATCCAGAGGGCACACAAGCAGGTCAAGGGCTCTGTGTGCTCAGGGCTTCTTTCAAACCTTTTCTTTACCTAGTGGCAAAGACGTATTCAAGATGTGGATGGAAGACAACCACAGGGTAGGTTTTAAAGGCCTGCTACTCAGTAGTATCCCAATGGCTGTCCTCAAATGGACAAAATTTTTTCAGTTCCCATAGGGTTACCGAGACAAAGATTATCTCATTGCTGTACCTCTAAAGGTGGATGAAAAGCAGATCACGATGGTTAGGAATCTCAGAGTCCCTCACTGGGGGCCACGAAACCAGGTGGACAAATTTGAATGTCTTTGTGTGTACAGCGCAGTTATCCCACAGTTCCTGCGCTGCTGCAATCCACCTCAGCAGTGTCTAGGTAGAACTTCTTAAGGTTTAGCACCACAACACTCGAGACAGGTGTCCATCTTGCACAACAGTCAAGTGGCAACACCTTGATTCCAGGTTTCAGGAAACTCAAATTCATGTTCTGCTTGCAAATATAATAAAGACTGAAAATGCCCATATGTTTTAAATGTGCGGTGTGTGTGTGTGCATTTTAAAAGAGCAGGAGGGGAGGGGAAAACAAAACAAAATAAAATAAAACAAAAAAGAACGGAGGCAAATACTCAGCCAGCATGATCTCTCAGAGCCCCTGGAACTACCACAACTTATGCCAGCCAAAGTCCTGCCCCCATGAACTGACTCACTCCTCACCAGCAGTCCTCCACAAGAAATAAAGTTACATAGAAGTTATAAGTGGTTGACATTTCAGCCACAACAGCTGTCTCCACAATGTCAGCAACTGCAATAACTGGTGGTCTCTTCTTCAGCTCCCTTCTTCATTTTAATCTGCTGCCAGTTAATGCCGATTGTTTTTTGTTTTTAATGAAAAGCTCTCTCCTGTTTTGCATGACTAGTACGTTGATACGCTCTTCATAGATGAAATTCTGTGAGCGGGTGCTCAAGAATACTGAACAGGTGGTAAAAAATTGCTTCTGAAATATGCCCCCCTTGCAATACATGCATCTTCATAGCCTAATGCTGTCCAAAGGAAGGTAAATATATACCTCCAGGGAAAGAAGCAGGGATGGTGAGCTGTCTGGGTACAGTAGTCAGACACTGAGGATCATTTGGTGCATCAACTGCAAAGTGAACGGATACTTTGTGTTTTAGAACTTGTCAATCAGAAGAGAGGCAGAGAGAAGCTGGGGACAACATAGGCCAAAGGATGGGCACCCTTTTCCTCCATCAAAGACAGTAGAAGCCTCTCCAGCAAGTCATACTACTATTTCAACTTAACAATATCAGTCTCTCCGCAGCAAAACTTCAATGCAGATTTTTGCGCCTGGCCAGCACAGCCAATAACTCTCCCTTAAGAGGGCAGGAAAGACTGACAATAGCCTGAGCTAGCAAACAGCCCTCTCTAAAGCAAGGGGCTTCCTAGCCATATAGCTAGCAGGAAAAGGGAAAAAACAGGTCATGTCCAAAAGAACACCAGTGAATTGTCACATCCCAACCTGAACTGGGATCCCATCTGGACAGGCCCAGGGAACTGCTGTCCACTCCTTGCTGAACAGGCCACATTTCAACTGAAGTGTTTACTGGATGAACATCTATGCACCCAGGTACAGCCAAGAAAAATATTTTAGGGATCTGTATAAAGGCTGAGGCTAATCAAAGAAACAAAAACACCAACAACTTTGTTTAGTGCCTTTTTTGCTAAAAGTAAGACAAAAGGAGAAGAAAAGCATGTGACAAAAGTTTCCAATGAGGCTTCAGTTAAAGGCTTGAGTTCTACTAATGAGGCTACTGAGTTTCCATTTCCATGTGGTAACATTTTCCCTATTCCTTTACACTCACTTATTTCAGAGTAAATTTATTGATTTGCATGGATTTGCTCTGGAAATTAATATAACTGTAAGCAGATCTGTTTATGTTCAATGGGTGCTCTCTCCTCCCCTATGTAGTCTGAAAGAAAACTCTTCAACAGGAATAAAAGAGAATCAAGGATGAAATACAATTAGAGGTGATGATGGTGAGTAAAAACATTGAATGAGATGGTGAACCAGGCTTAAAGACTTGAATAGCGAGAGAACTAAACTGAAAGAAATATATCTTCATGCTGCAATTTTGCTAAGACTGTATCTGGAGCCAAACTGTGTCCAGAACCATTTTAGAGGAGAGTCTGCAACACAGTATTTCAGGGGAAAAAAAGGAAAACAAAATTCAGGGTATCTGAACATACATTCATTCTCTAGTGCTGTGAAGGGACTGCAAACAGCTACAGCATCCCTTAGTGTGCACAGCACTGCAGGAGAGACTTTTGGAGGATCTCAGTAAATCACAGTGGTAGTGATAGAGGAAAGATTAAGTGAATCAAGCATAAGACATCTCAGCTCAGAGATGACAGAGCAGACAATGACAATCAACACTTCTCCAGAGAGCGTGAACATCAAATAGGAAGACAAGTTGTGAAGGACAGCACATTCATTCAGGATATACAGGAGTCTTGTTGGTGCTGTAGAAGTAACTGAGCAAAAGGATGATCAGGAAAACTCAAGGTTGTGAAATGAAAACGAAATTTTCAAATAAATGCAAAAGAAATGCGAAAGCATCTTCATTTCAAACCAGACAGCTCTTCCCTCATCCTTTTTGGTGCTGTGGACCAGCTGGCAGTGCAGCGACACTTCTACCGGCCATATACTGAAGCAGAATCTGCCATCAGCCAGTCACCTGGCCTCTCAGCTCACATGATGGTCACACCTCCCTTCCACATGCACAGGTAAACTAAGCTGTTGAGCTTCAGCACCCTCCTGGCATGCTCACTCTTCAACCCAGTTTTAAGCCATGGTAGAAAAGGCAGTGGGACAAACTGCTGTCCAGAGGGCCTGAACGCAGCCTAGCGTTGTCAGTTAGGCAATCTGGTCTAGGCAAAATGAGGATATTCTAGACTGACAAATAGACGGACAGGATGGCCTAATCTGGACTTCCACCTGGTGCTTCTGCAGTTATGTGACTAGAAGCATCTTAGCACTTCACTTAGAGAGAGAATAAGATGACTGACAAACACTTGTGCCACATGGTCCATTACAATTGCTGTGCCTAGGCAAATGCTATTGCTACACTTGCCTAGGATGTTCAACGCCAGAGACGTTGAAGCCTGGCTCCAGATTCAAAAGTTGAATTTCAAACAAGTAAAGGAGCAGCAGTAGCAACACAGTAACCACAGGTCATGAAGTCAGAAGCTCTGTTCAAAACGGTTTCTTTCTAGCAGACCATCTTTATGTATCCTGCAGGACATTCCTGTAGGTGGGTTTATGTATGCATAAAGAACCCCAAAAGATCAATGACACACTCCACAAATTACTTCCAACCACATAATGTACTACATAATGTAATAAACTTCTTTGCTGCTTTTCTCACCTCCATCCTGAAACTTGCTCAGCCTTTCGAAGTATGACGACATAGGAACTTGAACAATATCTAGAATTGCCAGCAGTGTCCGGGTCAGTCTGAGAAGCTCACTAAAACTGTAAAAGCCAAAATATATGAGGTTTCGAGCCAGATGTACCACCTATGAGAAAAAAAAAATTAAAAATGAAGGAAACATCAGCAACCTTTGTGGTATTCAGCTGTGCAGTATGGTTGCATTTCAAATGGCAGCTCTCACAGAGATTCAGATCTGGAGTGCATTCAATTTACTACATGTCCTTCCACTGATTTCAATGGGCTTTGGACCACAGCCAGTAACATCAAATGTTTTTCACAGTCAGACAAAACAATTGCTCAGTCAAATTAAAACAGAAAGCAAAAACAACATGAGGTTTAGGCAGGGCTGAAAGGATACAATTGCATCGGGGAAAATAAATAAGATGGAGAAGAAAGACTCCAGGAAATTGTTCAAACAGTCAGCAGCTGTAAAGAAGACGGCAGTTAAAAGAACAGTAAGGGGTCAGGTAAGTTTGAATGGAGGTGATTCCAGATGACCAGAGGCAGAAGTGACAAAGATCGCGAGGTAGGTTGGAGAAAGAAACTATAGAAGTTGTAAGGAGTTCCCTTTTATTCTATTTTACTTGAAGCTGGAAGATTTAGGCCTCTCTAAAGTTTCTGTCAGGAATTTCAAACAATAGTTAAAAGATAGGACTAAGTAATACAGAATAATTCCTTTAGTGTCATATTTTATATGGAGAATAGTACTTTCTTATATTGAAAAAAACCCCACATATTAATTCATTAATGAAAAGAAAAAGAGCACACAACCATTTACCCATACACATATCCCTTCTCCTGCCACTGAAATGCAACCATCTCAGGAAGAGGAACGAACAATAGAGTTGTTTGGCAGCAGACAGCAACATTATTTTCTGCAATAACAGAAGGCACCGTAAGATAGGACACAGACAGCTAAAGATTACCTCAAATGTAAGCTTATTTTTCTCCTTGTCTCCAAAAGGAAAGGGCTGATTTACAACTTCTTTCAAATACTCTTCCACAAATTCCATAGTCAGTGCAAATTTCCTCTTCATTTCATTCCTTGAAGAATCTGTGAAAGAATCATACCTACAAAGCAAGGCACAGAAGGAAGCAAAGTTAAACACCTTCAGGATGAGCTGTCACAGAAAGAATCACCAAATCCATCAGGATGCTTTAAAATTACTGTCAGTTCTCTGAAAGGAGAAGGGGTAGAGGGCAGCTAATTCTGAAAAGATATGCAAAGATGGCAGAGAAAGGATGCACAAACCTTCCTTTCGATAGTACTGGGAAGGGTTGCAGTGAGTGGTAATAACAGAGAGAGGAAAATACCATGGTCCTGGCAGAGAGCACACTTGATTCTTGCTGTGGCAATTTAATAGGTCACCAGTTTCAGTCATCCTCTCTGCCCATCAGCCGGAGATTACTATCTCCGCAGGAAAGCCAGCACATCAGGAAAGCAGCTTGGGACAATCAACTCCCTCTCTTTGCACCACCAACTAGGACCGATTTGTCATATTAATGACAACAATCCCTCACTCCGATAACAGGAGTAATATTGCCTGCTGCACTGCTATACTTCTTTGTCTCTCCAACCAGATACTTCATGCCTGGGTCTAGCCCAGTGGCGCTGCTCCATCAAATCAATTAAGTCACGGAGAGTTTCCACTGAAGTCATTGGGCTTCTCTTCCATACTTAAATTTAACACATGCTTAAGTACTTTGCTGGATGGAAGCCAAAGACTCTGTGAACTGTTTCTGGGGCAATAGCTGCACCTAACCGTAAATTCTCGTTTGCCAACCGCGGCTTTCAATTGAGCTTGAAGTGTAAAACTAAATTCCAACCTAGCAAACATGTAACGTTAAACACAATTTGATCATTTCAGGCTCAACTGTTCTTGGTAAAGGCCATTCCATTTTCTCCCTTGCTTGTGTCCTATAACAATCCAGTGAGAAATAAAACTAAAGTATTCCCTTCTGAAGCTACCCATGGAAGTTTCCAAAATCAACAGCCTGTGCTTTGCAACAAAATGCCTTCTCACAAATGTGTTTGTTGGCATTAGACATGTACAACCATTTTATCCTGAGACTGATCCCTTTAAAAAGCTTTGGTACTTCGTTTTGCACCACTCAACTCACTCATGGATTGTGATCTTAGTAGGAATTTCAGTCCACAGTCTTGCATATCTGACAGGTACCACAGATTCCTGAGGATCTCTGTCTACATGCATGTGTAGCATCAGACGGCAAAAAGAAGCCCGGAGGTCGTAAGGGAGGCTTTCGTCAGACATACATCGTAGGATCAAGTCTACTGACAGCTGTGCAGAAATCTGGTTGATGGCTAGATATTGGCGGTCCAGGCACATTCTTGCAAAGAGGTTCAGTTGATACCTTAAAGAAAAATAACAACATATTTCCTACTGAGTGTTTTGAATGCCACTAAACCACATTCCTCAGAATCTCACTTTTCAAGCCTGATCTCAGTCTTTCCCATGTAGATATTGAAAAATGACAAGAGCAACTTTGCTACCAAAGGGACTAACTTCCCAGTGAAAACGTCAATGTTAGGCTCCCGTTCCCATCATGACTGGGCTCCCTCTAAAGTTCAAGGGAAGCACCACACACAATGCAGGGGAAGGCTGAGGCATTTGAACTATTTGTTTCCAACCAATTTAAAATTCAGTTCCATGATCCCTTCTCCCCTCTAAAACCTAGGATGCTCAACACACTCCTTCTGTAGAGCATGCCTTGCTTCCAAGAGTAGCTTGACCTGAAAATACCGCTCCATGCATAAAACGTAAGAGGCAAAATCATAGCAGAGATGCAAAGAGGTGTCACAAGCAAGGAAGGCTCAAGACTTTGCCTGGAATAGATAGCAGAGATTGCCATCCTTCCTACAGGAAGGATTGAAACAAACTTTTCAGCCCAGTTTCTGGCATGACCTGGTTTCTTTTTATGATAATGGCAAATAAATAAGAGTTTACATTTTCCTCCATTTGAAAAAGCAGTTTTACCTGTAGTAGGTAAGAACTTCTATATCCGCTTTTGTGCCTTCCTTCGCCTCCTGAGCCAGATGTCTGATGGCTTTGCCATGAGGTTCCTTGTTGCTGTCAATCCAGTACAGCCACACTTCCTCGTCATCAATGTCATCTGAGATGACTGGGCATTCCAAAGGATTGTCCATCTGTGCAGAGACCAACCTGTAAGCACAAAGCATTCACAATGGAGCCACTCACACACTGCTACAAATGTAATAGAGCAAGTAACAAAAAGGTATGTTCCAATTATGGATACTCACTTGGTCTGAATGAGAATGTCAGCATTTCCTGGGCTCAGCATAAACTTGCAGATGAGTTCCTGAGTTACAGGTATTGCTGTGGTGTTAGATACACACAGGTCTGATAGATAATCCAAGAATCTGCACAGGCAAAAAAAAATCCAGATGCAACAGAACACATAACATAAAACACTATACAGAAACATTGCAGTGGAAATATCTCTGTCTCTCAAGTTTTGCAAGTATCACGGGAGCACATACTGTAAGATTTATCAATATGCAGCCTTTGCTCATTTGTATTATTGCAATCCCCAAAAGGTAAAGATGAGTAACAGCTTTGAGAGCAACCCTGAGTGGTGCTGAACAATCACTCAAAGAGAGGAAAGAAAAATAACTTGAGTCTGATACTTTTTAGCAAATCAGAGGCCAGAGAGTTGTGGCAGAATTTAAGAACAGCCTGAGGTCATCTCAAACTCAGCTGGCAGGGGAGCTCCACTGAAGGCCCTCATCCTTGTCAGAAACCAAAAAGATGAGCACAGATTTTTACTCATCTCCAGGTAACACATCTCCATAACCCAAGCACCAAGCAGATGTTACTTGTGCTGGAGATGTCCATGCATTCTCTGAGGTGCTCCCATGCACTCCCATGGAGCAGTCCAGCTTTTGAAGCTGCCTTTTACATTTCTCAAGTGACACAGCCAAAATTTAAGATCTGGCAGGACGTGAAAGCAGGAACCTCTGTATACAAAGAAGTGATTACACGCAAAGCAGAACTAACAAATGCTTTGCCTGGAAATCCGTTTCCTATGAAGTTGTTTCTTGAATTTGGTTCTTCTGCTGTTAAACAAGGTTCAGGTTGAGGTTTTCCTCACAGCTGGGATTTTCGTAAAGTATCTGCCTCTCTCCTGGATCCCTCTTTGTGGGAGAACAGTAGCTCACACTGCAGCCTTTCTCTCACTGGAACATAAAAAGGCCTCTCCTCTCTATGCAGCCTCTTCTTTTCATGACATTTGTAGAAACTGAGTATCTTTGAGCCCACCACTCCTCTGGCAAACATACCTAAAACTGGACAAGTGGCTCAAGAGCTGGTGGTGGAGCAGATATGGATAGGTACATACACAGTCACACACACACACACACACACACACACAGAGCATATATTCCGTTTCCTTGGAAATCCAGCTTAAAGATTTGACCATCTACTATCAGCCATTCCAGCATCCAATGGTTTGAACTCTATAGGTCATCATCCTACCAGAGGGAGACAGATTCCTGTGTTAGCACAGATCACACTCCCTGCAGAGATCTGGGAATTGCCAAGACGGAACACAGAAAGTATTTTTAAGGAACAGTCAGGAATCAGTTTACCCAGCAGTAAAATGAAGTCTGGTTGTAACGGGCAATTAACAATGCACAGCAATATTACATCACAGGGATAATATTAAGTAAACAACATAATTATCTGGACTTCTGAGGAAATTACTTAATTTGAGCTAAAACTTAGGAAGGTTTTAAATTTTGTAGCTCATGTGTTTTAGAGCATTTTGCCACAATCCTTACTAACACAAGCAGTGCTGCAAAAGTCTACGAGACTCTGCATGTAAATAAGTGTCATAAGATCGGACCTTTACTGTCAAGATCGCACCTTCTTGACAAGGTGTATTTTATGATCATTAATTGCTCTTGCGCTTACATCTTAAGGAAGTGAATGTATCTTTTAATAGAATTTAGTTACGCAACAATACCAAGACATTCCCCACTACGAAAAAATGACATGAAATTGCTAACAAAGAAAATGTCCCTTCGGCACTGAGACAGGAGCTAATCCCATCTTTTCCTCTACCAGTACTGACCAAACCCAATACCACTTAGCATGGGAGAGCAATGAGATTACAGCCTGAGGCAGAATGGCTGCAGACATGTACAGAATAATTGAAGCAGTGCAGCACCAGGGCCTTGAGCAATGTAATAAATCGCTAACAGAACACTAGTATCCACAATTACTGAGGATATTATTTGGCCTTCAGAATGTTAATTTCTTATACTTGCATTGTTTCGGTTCATTTACAATTGAAAGTCTAATGGAAAAATTAGATTTTCCACTAAAAAAAAAAAAATCCATTTACTTTATATTCTGACCAAAATAATTTTTGGTCAGCTGCATAAAGTATGAACAGAGTGAAGCTGAAGGCCAAATGTTTCATTTGGAACAAAATCTGGTCCAGAAACCCATGCTTACTGGGATCTTAACTGTCCCAGGCCCCTTGCAGATCTGACCTGGAATCAGCATCTACAGGAAAACGGACACCAGTAAAAATTCAGTAAAATTGACATCTGTGTCCTTTTCACTTCGGTTATTAGCAGGGAAACAAACATGAATGACAGTTTCACAGAGGAGCTGCAGGGTTACGAGAAATCAAAATTTCTGTTTGTTTCTCTCTGTCCTTTTTGAACTAAAAGCAAATTTTCAGAGTGTCCTGTAAACTATGAACCTTGCTTTTTAGCAAGCTCTAATTCTGAAATGCAGATATGGTCATATCCCAAGTACTGCTAGTATTTCCCACTTTCTAAGCAGAACACAGATTTGTGCGCGCCAGGCCTTTAAAAAAAAGGAAAAAGGAGAAACAGACAACAAAACAATGAATAGCGGCAGATTCACAGCTGCTACAAATATAAAAGCTTATCAATACAGAGGAAGAACGTTATGTGGACCACTTCAAACCTTGGCTCTCGATTTCTCCTGAGTAAATTAACAAATGTCTCTATTTCTTTAGCCGTGATGTGTTTCTCTAGCAGTTTTCTGTTGTTGTGCAACAAAGCTGTGATGGTGTCTTCTGCCAGAATATCATAACCAATCTGGGATTGCATGACACAGAAGTTCTTTGCAATATATTCCTGAAAGAATGAAAATCACCATGATGACCTGTTAAGCAGCAATTTCTTCTTCTAGAATCAAAGTTATCCAGCTCAATTAACAATCAAAATAACTCTCACAACTCTTCTCTCTGAACTGGCCAGAACAAAAAAGTATCTGAATACCTGAATCATCTATCTCAAGAAAAAGATTCAGTATTAAGAGATGACTAACTCTTCTTATTCTTTCAAAAAGCAAAGAAATGAACCCATGAAAACACATACAAAATTTAAAAAATTGAAACCAATTTCTTTAAAGGAAAAAAAAGAGTTTTATATAACAACGTTCTTTGCTGTCTTCCCTCCTCCCCCTCTAAGACAGAAATATTTTTGCAAAGCATTAGAAAGAAATCAGAGAAGCCACACATTACATTTCATTCTTTTATCATCAGCCCCGCTAGTCCTATAAAGTTCGTGAAGTTTCTCCCTATTGCAATATGCAAAGCACTCAACATCATGTTTTGAAATATCTCTTGTTCACAAGAAGCTTCCAGCAGTGGGAAATCAGGCTACCTGGAAGAATAACCCTTGCTTTGATTCACTGCCATCGCTCCAGAAATGTTTAAGCAACAGAAATACTAAGAATTTTGCAGTGTTCTCACTTTTTAATCCAGAGTCCAAGAGTGTAATTCTAATAACATAACAGAAGGCCTATGAATGAAGCAGTGGCCCCCAATCTCAGTCTCAGACTGTGAAGATGTAAGGAGGTCTGCCAGGAAAATGCACCTACGATATTCACCACTGATCACTCAATTTTTATAAAAATGCCTACAAAACAAAAACACTGTTCCTCAGCATGAGGCAGTATTAGACACTGATTTGCTACTTAGCACTAAACTACACAGGTCCCAGGCCTTTCACCATCCCTTAACATAAGTTTATCACAGAATCCCACTTGCAAGGGCAGAGTGCAAGATCAAGCACAGTCTCTATAATTACAGAAATCAGGAGGAAAATTGTTCTGAATACCACTGACCTGGTTCTTCCTATAGTCTTGCTGTGAATGTCTGAGAACTCTGTAACATAATCTTAACATGTATTTGTATGGAGCGTATCTCTGGTCACCTAGATCTTCAAGTCTCAGCATCGATCCTTCACCTTTGTCCTTAAAAGGAGCTTTGAGGATCCCAAATACCTGTTCATAATTGAAATCACTGAGGATGAAAATAAAATCAAGATTTTTGCTTAAATTATAACTGTCAATGGAAAAGTCCTCTGACAGGATCAGTGAAAGACTCCTTTTGAGTAAAGTCACCGCATTTGTTATCTACACAAGACTAAACGGAAGTTGGGACACACTGACAATCTCAGACATTACAGCTTTAGGTGTTTAGCTTCACATTTCTCCACCAACTTGATTAACATTATTTTCTCTTGACTGTTATCCCCAGCTAAAAGCACTGTGTGTTAAGTGCCTTACCTTTGGCTAAATTAAGGACAAAAAAGTAGGACAATACCAGCTGTGTCCTGTTTCATCTTTTTTTTTTTTTTATTTTAGTAAGCTATTTAAAGAGAGTGCTAATTCTGATTCAGATACAATTTGGCCCTCACACAAACAATGTCAGGGATCCACGAGAGCATCAGAATTTTCTCTATACAGGGATCACCTGCAGGACTGCAAGCTGTTATAAGCTTGTTTTAAATTTGGTCAACAATTTGCTGTGAAATGTAGTCTTACAACTCAGCAGAATTGCACAAAACTAACAGATAACAGACTTTGGCCACTCATGCTTCCATCTCATTCACAAACCTAACAGGTGAACGTTGACTGATGAGCGTCATATCTATCCAATCCAATCAGAAATAAAAGCAACATGGCATGGTCAAGTTAGGTAAAATTAACATAAAATCAAATCATTCTCTCTTACTTTGTATTTGTAAATAAAGGCAAGTATTAGGACATTAGGATATACCTGGGCCAATATATTTTGTTCCCTCATTAATTTTTGTCGTTCACGGTTTGGCTTGGTAATGACCACATCCAAAACTTCTTGCCCATTATTAGGCACATCAGCAACAAAGAAAATGAGATCTTCTAGTAACTTGGTTACAAACCTAGAACGAATAGACAATTATTATATACAGTCATTCAATATTTGCTTGGATTCATTAAGAAGAAAATCACATTTTAAAACAAGCTTTATCTAGCACAACAGAACTTCAATTGCTATGATGCTAAGTTTGACGTGTACTTAGGGATTCAAGGCCTTGGATCAGCAGAGGCTTAAATCCCTCACAGGGATGTTTACCAAAGAATTAAACAACAACCACAGGGAAAAAGGGAGAAAAATGCAGCACACTGAATTGATTGAGTATTCAGAAATCCAAAATCTATACCAGCTGGCCTCAAGGCCCAGCAACAGTAGAAACACACTCTTATGCAGCCTAACAAGGATTTTTATTGGTAAATTAGCAACATGGGCCCATGAAACAAGATGACACACTCACTAGAGGACTAACAGCTTCCTGCTGCTACACTGTTTCCTTACTGACCCAAGAAACTGTTGAAAAAGGACTTGAAAAGATCATGTTTATTTTACTCACTCTTTGCTAGAGAAAAAAAAGATTTGGTAGAAGCAAGCGCTAAAAAGGTCAGAGGGAGGGGTAATTCCTTTCCTACTGCCTTCAGAAGACACAAGAAGAAACAGTACTGCAAGTGGTCATTGCCACCTTGCTACTAACACGCCTTGCCAGTCAAGCACAGAGAGAAGTTTGGATACCCATAGATTTTAATGCATCTCCCTTTAAAGAACAAGGGGTCTTTTACAAACAAAAACCATCATGTCTCCTGCCCTTGGGAAGTGTCATCTGAATTTGGTCAGTATCTAGTCTGTAGTTACTAAACCTGCAGGCATGCTATGAGAGTTGCAAGGAAATGCTCAGTAGAGATTTTCAAAGCCACCTCAGGAAACCAGACACAAAACTTGCATTATCCACAAGGGGTGCTGTTCAGCTAAATACTCTGCTTTAGCTTTAGCTTTAAAAATCTCAGTTCACTGGTAGCTGGTGGAGAACAGCAAGGGCCACAGCACAAGGGTACTTCCCCAGCAGAAAGAGGCAGATATACTGCAGAAGTGGGGTAGAGCAACCAGGCAGGAACTGTGGGAACTTTTCTAAGCAGGAAGGTGATAAGACATAGGGAAATGACAAGAGTGACCCCTTCAAAAGAAATCACAAAACAAACAGGTAACGCCGCTATCCTGACGCCACTCTGAAACATTTTACATGTGCGTTGTACCGATCTCTCTACATCAGGACTCGACAATACTGGATTGCAGTGATACAGTGGTGCAAGGCTAGTAAAGGGATGTCACACCTTGACTACGCGGTAGCCCTCTCTGGTTCTACTTAGAAACAAAACGGCCCTTCAGCTCTCCAAGGCTGAGTACCAACTAGGTACCATCAGAGATCTGCCTGTTAGGCCAAATCCTCCACCTGATGTTGAACAGTCTGTTTTAATTACTACTGACAAAAGGCTGTGGACTCAATAGACAGCAGAAATTCAGTCTTATCATCAAAAAATTAACATTTTCAGCAAAAAGCAGAGTATGATGTATGGTAGAATGAAAGTTACAAATTAACAGTGCCAGAGATGCTGTCTAATACTCAGTTTTACCACAGACAGCTGAAAATAAATAGCAAACTACATTACCAGCAATGTGATATATTTGGCTATAGTGTACAACAAAATCCCTTAATTCGGGGCGGGTGTGAAGAACAGACATTCCAATAGCGCTACAGTTGAAGCATGGATGAATATAAAGGGTAAACATTAAATACAACAGAATGATGTAAAATAGGAAAGGGGGGCAGGGAAAAATAGAAGCAAGAAAGAAAGGGAACTACTGCGGCGTCCTCTCAGTCACTGTAAGACCTCCTACTACTGCTCTGGAAGTATGAAGGTACATTACAGTGAATTTTATGCACATCAAGAGTCCTGTATGCTGCCCACTGTATAAAAATCCTTCTTGTATATGAGAATCAAATCCAATAGACCCAGGCATTATAGCCCAAAAGCAGTATATTATAGGAAATTAAGACAAATGTTCTGCCTTTGCCCAGGGGTCTGCCCATTTATTTATGTGGCCAGTGAGCTAGGGAAGTATTGTTTACCCCCATTTTACAGAGGGGAAACACAGACAAGCCTATAGTGCAGGAAAGAAGCTCTAGAAGAGCTGGAAATGAACGGAGTCCCAGCTTAGCACCCTAAACAGTAGGACATCCTCTGCCAACTGCCTCTACATCCACATTGATGTTACTAATTTGTCTATCACTGTGATGCCCTGATACGCACAGTAATCAAACACTAGTTTAGGGGGGGAAAAAATAAAACCCACTAACCTCCTTTCATTCTGGGTTATTGTTCCATTCTCCAGCTTTTTAACAGTTGATGCTAAAACCTTGTTGGCGTCATTGGCAAAGTCCAAGTCTCTGACCTCAGACAGAGGAACTGATACAATGGCAAAAGCTTCCTTGTCCTCTTTTGTTTGGCACGTCCCAATCTGCAATAGTTTGGTATGGATAAGCAATCCTCTCAACTTTACCCTAATTATAATACAACTTCTATATGTAAGAAGTGAGATCACCAGCAGATAACTTTAGGAATGAGTGTGGGATTTCAATCCCAAGAAATCAGTCATTACCTTCAACATCACAGGCCTCTCTTCATCAGTATCTATTGGAATACTAGTACTAGTGACCCAAGTATTAGTGCATAAATGTCTCAGTCGGACATATGAATTCCTAAAGGAAAACAAAGTAAATAGGTTAGATGGAGGCAGTTCCAAGCTAAACTGGGCAAGGTGGGATGCTGCACAGTACATGACAGTGTCATGAGACTTGACAGCACAAGCCACACCAGCCACTCCTAATAAAAGGGTAAGGGGGCCCTAAAAGGTATTGCAGCACCCTTTCTCCTTGTCTTCCTCTCCTGATACTGAACAAGCAGTATCTTGGGATTATGCAGAATGCTGTTTTAAGTATTTAGATAAGCCTACAAGTAAAGTCTTCTTTAAAGAAAAAAAAAATTAAAAGGAACAGAATAGAAATATGTTTCGTTAATAAAAACAATTTTTTTTTTTTTTACTATTTTCTCTGCAGAGTAATGAAGTTCTTCACTCTGGCACAAAAGCCAGTAAAACTGACCATGGTTGCACAGCTTCACCATTATGGCCTACAAACCCTTGTTCCAGTAAGCAAGTATCTAAAAGTATCAGTTCTCAACTGGAAATCAAGTGAACAAAGACCAGGCATTAGATTTTTCTAAATTCTTTCCATCTGAGAATTTGTGGTATTATCAAGAAGCAGAACTGAAAAATCAATTACAATTTTTACTCTGAATTCTGTATTTTAAACGTATTCACTGTGGCCTTCATTCACACTTGTCTTTTCATGCTGATAGGCTGTGACTATTCAAGTAAGCAAACTATCTGGCAAAACTTAACACAGCAAATACACTTCAAAGCTGCATACATCAGTATTTGCATGTACTCGATTTAAAACCCATCACATGACAACTAGACCCACATGTCTGCATGCCCGTTCAGTCACAACCAACACCACCTGACTTATCCAGCCAATCTCAGCTCAGCAACACAATTGAAATTCCAAATATTCACAATTAAAACCCAGAATAGATTCCAGAAGCCTCTTGCTGAATTAATTTGAATAATAAACGTATTCAATGGTATTGTGATCTGTCAGGGAAACAGAAGAACAATTCACTATACACGTTATTTTGTTGGGAACAATTCAGTCAGACCTATTTAGCAGTACAGTTTCTTCAAACAGTGCAGTAGGCTCAATTCTGTCCTCATTTTTAACTGTGCAAGATTCAGCCCATTATTTTTCTCTTCACAAACTCTTTAAGTGTCACTTATTTTACCCTTATAATTATTTTACCCAGTCATCGCAGCAGGATCATGTTTTATACATCTCTTGTTTATCCATGAACACGCCTCAAATTTTAACTGATGGGTAATACTTGCTCATGTTTGGTTTTTGCTTTTATTCACCAGCATAATGCTAAGAAGAAACCTTGTCAATGCAGCACTCTCTCTTTTTTTTTTTTTTTTTTTTTTTTACCTTGGAACCAGGCAATCAGCTCTCTGAAGAGTGGTGGCATCCAGTTCAAAGAGAGATGCAATGTCATTTCCATGTGGCACAGAGACCAAAGTATACATAATCTTCTCCCCTGCTTGGCGTTTCTTCTTTGAAGCAGGAAGGTCGCCGTCTCTCTGCTGATTAGGCACAAAGGTTATTTGCTTGTATCAGGGCCTATTATAAATTCTCCAGTTACCTTGCAGACAAGTAGTACATTTGAATTGTATTCTTTTTTTCTGTACATTCTAGTAAGAATGTACCATGACTGGCTTTGGAGTGTGTAACACAAAGGGTGCACTTTGCCCCAGGCACATGGGGTCCTAGACAGTCATTATAACAACAGCAGGTCACAAGCTACAGAGACACTGTGGTACTGTATACATTATTACTCGACACCTACAACTTCAAAAACCTGCTGTAGTTGCAGACCCTTCACTCCCAAAAGATGTAATTACACAGTGGTAGTTTGGAAAGGGCTAAAGATAAAAGAAAAGAATAAATGAAAACTGGATTTTTAAAAGGGGGAGGGGGGGCTGAAAAAGGAAACAATTTGTCCATTTCCACTGCTGTTTTTTCAGGCTTGCTCTTTTTTCCCCTCTTATGGTCAGAATCGCAGCAGCGCGTTTCTTCAGTTAGGAAGACCCAGCATACCTGCTCCATGGAGATTAACCTGTCATTGGAAAGGCCGGGGGGGGGGGGGGGCGATGACAATCAGTCCCTTACAGAAGCCTTGCCTTCGAGGGACAGACTTACAAAGCTACGCTGGTGCAGCATGGGTCTGCGTGTGCCCACTGAAACTGGAAACGTTCAGTCCCTTACAGAAGCCTTGCCTTCGAGGGACAGACTTACAAAGCTACGCTGGTGCAGCATGGGTCTGCGTGTGCCCACTGAAACTGGAAACGTTCAGTCCCTTACAGAAGCCTTGCCTTCGAGGGACAGACTTACAAAGCTACCCTGGTGTCTCAGCATAGCTCTTCTGATCTTCCTCCCACCATCGGCTCAAAGTCCTGGGGAATTTTGTGATCCAGCACCACTAAGCAGCCATCTTCATCTTTAGATACCTAAGCAGACTCCAAATGGTGACTTCGCAGAGTCTGACCTTGCATACCTCCACTTGAAGAAGTAATTCAGTCTATGCCTGTAGCCACGCAGCAACCAATAGAATTACTGGCATAAGTAAAAGCTACTCCTCCAGGGTGCTGAGTTACACATGTTACCACCGACTAATAAGCAGTTAAGAGACTGGCAGTCCAGGGCCCTTCACATACACAAAATATATCATGGGAGCAGAGAGAAACAGGACCAAAGAAAGCCAAAAGAGAAAATTCAAACACTGGAAACCCGAAATACTATTATAACGATTTATAGTGCACCACTAAGGAAGAGATGTACAAAGCAATATAAAGAGGCTACACTGTACTGGGTTTGCATTAGGACCTTGATTAAACCAAAACCGTAAGGGATAATCAAGGGCAAAGTTTTGATTATTCACACTGTCCATTGATTAAGCAACAAAATCAAGGATGAGAGAAATGGTGCAAGGAATGACTAGTTCTCATCTCATCTCACAGCACTTCTGAATCCTTCCAAAATATTCATTTTTTCCACCAACAAGCCTAAAAAATGCCAGGTTTCCATCCCACTACTTTTATGAAGGACAGAGACAAGAGAAAAACAAGGAAGAAATCCTCTCACACGCTTTTCTTAGGCTCATCTGGTGCTTGCAGTGTTGCCACTAGTTTCCGAGAAGAAGGCTCTCAGAGACAAAGGACAACAATCTACTCCGTCGTGCACAAGAGCAAACCCACATCTGGTAGCCCTCACATTCTTCCATACCCCACACCCAAAAAATACTGAACAAAATCACATATGCAAATTTAATCCATACGCAAGGCCTGAGAAAATAGTAAGAATTTCTGTCCCCCACTGTTTCTGTTTTCCATACACACTTTGTTTTACAATCTCAGGATGAGGCCAAAAACGGAAAGGCAGTCAACCGTAAGAGGACTCTTAAGACCTTCCTAGGTATGAGTTGAAGTAGAGTCTAACATCAAATGGAAATCTACTTCCCAAATTTCCAAGCAAAAAAGAAATAGAACTAATTTATACCTCCTACACACCCAGGAATACCTATTTAAAATTCAAGATGGCTGTAAAGGGCTGAGGAACATAAGATAATGTAGAACTGCATCCAGAATTTTGAATTTTTCCCATAACTTATGTTCAAATCTAGTTAGGTTTTCCCAGAATCTACTCACTCTGCTACAATTCCAAACTGAAATTGCTGGTATACAAGAAGACAGGACACTTTATCCTCACATATGTTTTCACTGAGGCCCCAGGAAAAACAAAGATCAAAATACGAAACCAGATTCCACCTTGTAACAAAGTGTTTTATATTCACTCACTACACAATGCCTGACCATCTCCAATAGGTCGTTAAGCAGAAGCATCTATGCATACGTGCAGGTTTCCGTGACAGAAGGCACAGGCACGTCTCTTGTGCATGAGTAGCTCACGCTAGTCATTAGCTCTGGGGGAAGCACATCCTGCAGTTTGGGGCTGCTCCACCCACTCACTAGCCTGACCAGTAATTGCATAGGTGCTGTATGTGATAATCAGCAATGGCTCACCAGGCCTAAATCCAGCCAACCAGGCCTGGTACCTGTCAAATCAGATCTGACATATGACCAAGAGCTGCCTTCTAGTCTAAAAAAAAGAAGTATGTTTCAACACAGGGCAAGTGCCTGCAGCAGGGCTACCTGCAATGCAAAGCTTTACTGAACAAAATCAGACTTGCACAATTCCGAACTGGACTCCAGCACAAACCTCAGAACTCTTCTCCTAACTTAACATCAGGATCTCAGACCCACCTCACAGCACAACTAGGATTACGACTGTTAAGCATTAGGCATTGTAAAAAATAAACAACAGAAGTGATCCTTACCTTGAGAGCTCAGAAAAATTACAAAAAAGGAGTATGAGAGACAGAGAGATACAGTCATCACATAGGTACATACAAGGCTTGAATTTATGTCTGAATTTACATCTGAGTGCATGTGCACGTTATTGTGTGTGAGAGAAAGAGACAGCGCACACAATTACACACAGAAATTTTCCCATGATTACTTAAAATTAGTAATCAGTCATCAGAATCTGCCCTCAATCGAGCCATTATTAAATTTGCAGATGAGCCTATACAAGGAAACTGAAAGAAGAGAAAGCATCAGACTACTTCTAATTAATTAGACAATATGATCAGTTCAGAAGGGACATTTCATACCTAAATGGAAGAAAACAGGAAGGTATTTGTCCAGCTAAGAAACTGGCATATGAGCAGATGCAGCCAAAAAAAGCAGATTCAGTGAAGAAAAGGGAGGAAGAAAATCATAAAGGGACTCAAATGCAAGAAAATTTGACTTGAAGGAGTACCAAGAGGAGGCCAATGAAGGGTTTCAGAGACGGTAGCGATGTGGTCAGTGACAGATAAGGAAAGCACTCCAAAGACATGTTGAAAAAGCAGATGAATTACATGCTAGGAGTCCAGAAGTAAAGACAATACAAGAACTGTGGGTAAACCAATTTGAGCAAATAGTAAATTCACTGCACAAAAAAAATTTCAGTTATTCCACACTACTGGCTAACTAGTCCCAGGCTGTAGACAAATCAAATCAGAGACATATCCAAAGTAAAGAAGGTGGAGTCATGTCACTCACTGTAGTCAGTTCACTGGTTAAAAGACTCAAAGATGTGGGCAACGCACGTTCTGTGGGTCATGAAACACAGTGAAATACAGTGTTCATGCACACAACAGGTCTTTGCCAGCAGGTGGAACCAAAAATCCCCCTACTATACCACCAAGGGTCAGAGCGCTCTTCCAGAAGGAAGGGACTCATGTTCAGATTCAATCTCTACTAGAAGGAGTGCAAAGACTGAGAGATCAAAAAAAGAATCATATTTAGGGAAACCGACAGCCATTTTGGTGAGGAGTAGAAATACCAGTCCAGGCTAACAGCGCAATTCCACAACTACTGCGCTACCAACGTGGACTTGCAGCACATCACACCGATTTAAAAAAAAAAAAGCTTAAAAAAAAAAAAAACTAACCCAGACATAATACAGTGTTCGCAACATGCAGGGCAAGTTCAATGTAACAGGAGACAAATCCTACACTGTAATTAGAGACAACATAACCAGGCACAATCAGATTTGTCTTTCCTGGGACTTGTAGCCCAGCCAATAACCCTGCTTCACAGTTCTTAATATAATTTGCTGGTAGCTGTGAGCTACCCCAAAACCCCATTATTGACCTCAGCTGGGCATCACCAAAACTTCAGGAGATTTGCATGGAGTTTTGCTCATGGAGAGGCCGTCCTTTTAACTGCAAAAAACAATACAAAAATGCAAGACCTGGAATACCTTTTCTTTTAGAATGCAAACAATTAGTAAAGACACCTCTTGTGGCATAGAGACAGACAAGGATAATGCCCTATTCCTGTATGAATACATTAAGCTGCACTACAGACTTCAACAGAAATTAAATTTAATAGCAGCCAGAGTTCTGAAAATGCCTGTTAAATCCAGCACATTGTGGTATCTTAATGTTAACCCAGTTTAGGAGGCTCTTGTAAAACCTGCATTTTCACAGGGCAGCAAAGTGAACAGAACTCCATAGGTCAGATGATTTTAAAAACTCTCTGTGAAAAGAAAGTCGAGTAAATTAATGGCCAGCCTTGCTCCTGCATGCTCTGAAGCCCTGGCAGACAGCACAGCAGTTAGCCTCCTATAACACCTTCACTGTTGACTCATTTGTGAGTCATCGCATTTTTAGCAGAGACATCACGTTGCAATTCTGTTGTTAGGAGCCAGAGACATTCTGTAAGAAACAATGTATGCGTTTTCAGAGCTGAATCAGACCCGTGTGCAGCAGCAGAATAATAATAATGTGCCAGCATCCGTGTCTCCCCTTCTTTGCCTGTGAGCGCAGAGCCTCTCAAGTGGTCTGACTGCTGCCTTTACATAAGCAGAGACGCTGCCATTTTAAAGCCAAAGTTTTTTTTTTTTAAGCATGTTTTTCGGATTGTTTATTGCCAGGTTAATGCCTAACCAAGCCTTTAAAAAAATATCCCCAAACCTGTTCCACTTGTTTGAACTGTATCACTTGTGTTACACATTATGAAATTTTAATTAAGAGGGTTTTTTTAATAATCTTAGTTCATGGAAGGTAAAATTAAAAAAAAAAATGGATTTACAGTGTTTACCAGAAAAAAATCACTTGAGATGGAAGCAAGAAAGAAAACTTTGAATTAGATGAGTGTTTTTGGCATACATAAATATAGATAGACAGAAGTCAAAGGAGGGATGTCAAATTGCACCTAGAGGTCCATGGTATAACCACTCAACTTACTTACAAGAAAATTAAGTAAATACCAATCTCAATCCTAAGAAAAATCTCAATAATAAAGTCCAGTTTGGAAATATTTAGGGTTAGCGCTCTCTCATGAAAATGCAGTAAAAAAGGAGTTAAGCCACCTACCCAAAGAAAGCCTTTTAATATGAAGGAGCTAACAAATGCCAGGTTCCCAGCTGTTGTTGACATTTCACCAATGTTTATAGCATTCTTCTAGATGCTGTACGTTCGTGTGACTGGAAATAATAGACTACTTTGCAGCATAAAATACATCAGTTTTGGGTTTAATGGGATCTATAACACAGAGCACTGTGTTTTGATGCACTCTACGTTACATTTTCCTAGATTGCAAGAGCTAGGAAGCCTGGCTTTGATAAGGACCCTAAATTAGAGGAGAGTCTTCACATTAAAAAATCTTCTGGATTTTAGATGTGGGAAAAAAGTGTACGAAGAACATTAATCAACTCATTTTAAGGCCAAATTTTTCCAGAAATCAAAACAATCTTCCACAAGACAATTTGGCTGGAATCTCAAGCAGTGGCCCTTGAATGACCAATAAACCGCAGTCCAAACATAGCTTTAATGCTTGGGAACAAACGTCCCAGTGACTTCCAGCAATATTTATGTTCTCAAGGGCCAAAACCATTTTAGACTTCTAAGTCACTTAAGGCAAGGCAAGAAGAGATGGACTTAGGCAGAATCCCACCTACTGCACCACAGAAAACCCTTCTCTACTGTTGCTTCCTAAACTTGACAGTTGCCTCAGCAGCTGTGACCAGGACTTGTAACCCTGGCAGCGAGCATGCACCAGAAACCCTGCTGCACATTTACCAGTTAAGGTTTAACACAAAACGCACAGGTAGCTGTGCCTTTTATTAAAATTCAGTTGATAGAGAAGAAGTTGGTACCTTTTCTACAACAGACTCAAGAGTGAGAAGAAAAACCCAGGCTGCAGTCTCAGTTTCTTCCTTCAGTAGAAAAGACTCGAATATACATCTCCCATTTCTCCCATTTCTCCCTGGTCATCAGACTTTATCCTGGGGTAGGCTCACTTCCATCTCCCCCTCTAAAGTAGCTTTAGTTCGCAGGCAGTACTTTGAAATTAATTGGTTCAAAAGCTGAAAAAGAAGATGCCTTTCCAGTGACTCAGTTAGACAGTCAGCTGGCAGGAGAAACACCAGATGAAAACGGTGGTGTAAAGAAAGCCGTGTACTCCAGGTTACATACGTGTTGGATATGAAGCAGACATAGCTGCCCCTTCAAGAACAACTCCAACTATCATAAGAGTCTTACACTTTTGACGGATACTTCAAAGCGCTGCTTCATCCTAACAGAAAAGAAAAACCTGAACAGGGATGCAAAGCTTTCTGCTCAGTTGCTTATGCCCAGAACAAAGACTTAAAATAGCCATTGCTGACTCATGCTATTTCCAACAAGACTATAAAGGGGTGAAGGATCCAAAGGGATTTATGCCATGCTAAAAATGCCTATAGGCTCAGATCTATATGGAAGTGTGAGCAAAACTTGATAGGGATTCTTCCATAAAATATTTTTCACATGACACTGCTGACTGTGTAAACCAAAATTTCCACATAGACATATCAGTTTTGGTTAAATTTTCAATGGAAATATTTGCCTAGTCAGATTTCTCTTGTCTGGATTTTTGGTCAAAACCAACACCCAGGATGGTTGAGGCAAACTGTTAGGGTAGTCACCTGTAACATAAGATTCCTGTTCAGATTACTCTTGTGCCTACTCTTATGCCTGGAACGACATAAGGAGGCAATAATCAGGAGATCTGATTCAAACGTGCAGTCATGATATGAGCTAAAATATTAAAGTAGATGTACTCTATGAGAGATGAAGTCTGCAGTTCAGAGAGCAAGAACATGAACCTGAGCATTTCCAAGCAAGCACCCTACCCAGTGGGATATTCTAGAAGAAGTCTCCTATCCAATTAGAAAATTTCAAGGGCCTCAAATTCATTCCAATGCAAAAAAGAAACAACCATTAGAACTTCCATATTTTCACGAGAGAGAAATCTATTTTCTCTGGCCAGCTTAGTTATTGCTGTATTACTATTAACGCCAAATACCAGGGAAGAGGGAAACCAATGTTGCCAACTCTCACAATATTCTTTATTTTTATTAAACTCGCAGTCCTGAAGGAATGTGACTATGTGAGAATCTTGGTTTGCATTTAAAAAAAAATAAATAAAATGATTCTTCCTCATGCAGAGAAAAACTTAGAAAATGTGTCCTTTAAAAGAACAAAAGCCAGAAGACAAACAGAAAGAAACAAAATTGTTTTTTTCTAAAAAGATCTCAGGGTTTTCAAGGCAATCTCACGAATCTGATAATGATTTTTTTTTTTTTGGAGCATTTGTTGTCTCAGTAAGAATGAGATTCCTCCAGGATTTTAACTCCACTTCCTTCACATGTTATAAATCACAACATGCCTGGCCTTCCCTCATTAGTTAGAATTAGCTAGCACGATCTAACATTTTACCTTTAAATTACAGACAAGGCAAAGGTCTAAATGCACTTTGTCTATGATTGCAGCAGGCAGCCTAGATACAGAGCACCTACCTTCATGCCCAACCCATCCATGCTGCAGCAAGGACAACTTGGATCCTTGCTACGCTGTCAGGCTAGAGTTCAAGCTCTTTCCCCTTCGAAGTGCAGCAGGGCTCAGCCTAAGCTTGAATATATGCTTGCATGCACTCAGTACAATTAATAAAAAGAATCTCAGCAGATTCTTAGATTTAGAGCCATGTTCAACCGATAAACGTGTCCCAAGGGGCTCATCTCCATTAGAACAGCCTCCCGCTTTGCAGCGGTACCATGCAACATGGCGTGGGAGCACCATGTCATGCCAGCTGCAGGAGGTGCCACAGCAGTGGGGCCACACTGCCTTTGTTTGCACAGGCAGCCAGACTGTGGTTTTGCCAGCCAGCTTTGTTGCGTAGGTAAGGTGATCTTTCATGTCCCTTACTGACAGAGCCACCCTAGCAAAGCTCCATACTACATACCTAATCATTGTTACTTGGGATATGATGAGGTTTCTAGGTTAAACAAATCAAACCTTCTGTTGCATCTCTATCATGGAATAAAGACAATGTCTCAGTCTTATGCCCTAACTGTTTGGTTACAAATTCAAACCTCATCAGCACTCCCTATTCAAGTCACTGGCATTAGCCAACATAAGATGTGTTAAACCCAAAATGAAGCAGGGCTCACCACAGGTAGAAAGCTAACTTTGGCCAGAGACATTTTTTGCCTACATTATGCTATTACTACTTAGAGGCTTGTGGGTATCAGTATTTAAGTAACCAGACTTGCTAATCCCTGGTTTTCCTTCTAAAGAGGCTAGTGGTATTTGCCATGAGGTAATAGGTCTAATTTGAGAAGAATTAATCCATTTCATATTTGCAATCACCAAGCAAAACCAACTTCCAATGAATGCTAATCTGATGCAGAATTTGAATAAGCTTCCTAACATTTCCCTAGTTGTAGCTCACTAAAAAAACCTCAGGATAATCCCCTAAGCAGTACAGGACAGAAATGCAACATTACTGCTGAGTTTGCCTGTATGCAAGGGAAAATTTTCTGTAACAATAGCTCTGAGTTGCACTCTAGTTTACACGGGATACAGAAGACAATCCCACTGGTAGTAAGATCATCATCCAAGTAGAGAGCCTCCTTTTCGCTGACGAGCTAACATGAGGCATGAAGCAGATGAAGTCCTTTACATGCAAGTAAAAAGAAAGCTATAAAGGGCTTTCATATGGTGAGCTTTATTAGGCTAATGATACAGTATTTTCTGGATTATATGCAATGTACAAATTCCACTTACCAAAGCTTTTCCTTCATTATTACCTTCCGGATAGTGTGGGTTAAGCTGAAAAAGAAAAGAATTCAAATACTATCTCGATAGTTTTAGACATTTAAAAGTTGGAGGAAGGTGAGTTTGTTCAGTTATATATTAAATATTCACTCTGCAAGAGAACAGCATAGTATTTAAAACCATTGCCCAAGCATGAGAATTCCTCATTCAATTTCTGACTGACTTACTGGCTACCTTCTCACTTCAAAAGAGTGCATCTTGCCATCAGAAAAACTGGTAGAGAGAAAGCACAGGTAGTTTATTAAACTAAACATAGCAAGTTCTGGTCACCCCTACACACTCACAAACATTTCCAGGATTGACCTTGAGTAGATGTACTGAAATAAAAACTACCAAGTCCGCCAAGATTTTATAGGAAGACAGTTAACTCAGAACAAACACATCCTTGAAACAGCAATGACAATGCCACTACAGAAAAGTGTTAAACTACTCTGTGATCCTGTTTAACCATTATTATACGGGGATAATATTTTCTATGCCATACAAGGATTATCAAGCTTAATTAATAACTAAAGGGGCATGAGAAGCTTGGATGAAAGACACTACATAATATAAAGTGTAAAATATTACTATTTAACAGTGTGCAACATGATTTTACTTTTGACAAGAGGAATACGTAGACTAGAAGATGAGGAATTATGGAAGCAGATAAACAAACGCCCACACACGGACTGCACATTAAACTTTTCAAAATTCGACTTATATCATGAAACAATTTACCGGAATATTTACCACATTCCATAGCACAGGACATGCCTTCAAAACTTTGAAAATGGTGAAATTATTCGTTACATAAGGTAATTTAGTTTTTAAGCATTAACAGCACGTGCACATACAGACACGCACAGTCATTTTCTTGCCACGAATTTGGCATTACCAGTGTGGAAGAGCCAGAAGTGAATCGCACAGGACAACCTGAGTGAATCCCAATAAAACTTTTTAACATCACACCATCATACATCTAACATCACACAGAAACCTACTGTAAAGCATTTTTATTAAGTTTGTACGTGTTTTACTGATATTGTCATTTATACCCCTTTACTCAGAAAGCCAGCTCCTCTCCACATCAGAATCCATTTCATGAGCTTGAAGAAAGGAGGTTAATTTTTAGATACTACTAAAACTTCTGAAAATATCTTTGCTCTGTCTCATGGCTTGAAGAGCCACTATATAAATGATCAAATGGTTATTCTCCTGCCTTAAATTCAGTATTTTTATTAGCCTCTGCAGTACCCTCACAAACCTAATTCAGAGAGTCTGCTTTCCTCCCTGCATTGACACCTATCCCAAATCTTGCATTTTGCTCCTCCACGACGCGCTCCCACCCACTTCTGTTTCACAGTAACAGGAATAGGAGACGAACACCGAACTACACACAACTAAATATAGAATACATCTCTCTCTACATATATAGAGAGATGTATAAAATTGTCTTTATATGGTTTGGCTTCTTCTTAAGTTTTCTCACACTTCTTTCAGCATTACGTTTGTTCACCTAACACACTAAAATAATTCTAATCACCTGTTCTGATAGCCAAGGTGTGTTTTGTACAGTTGGTCCTCTGTCAAGAACAGGTATAACTGCCAGGTAATGCTCTCTAGTCACAGCCACACACAGTCTCAGCAGAGGTGCAGAGAAGGTGCAGAAGGGCTGAATTTGACTCTGCCTTCAGATTCTGCTGATTGCAAGTAAGCAAGTAGTCTGGGTCATTTTCAGCTTTGTCACTAGACTAAGCATAGAGAATCGTGCACGAGGGCTGTATGTTCAACTGGAATAAATCAACGATGTCCCACTGAAGGGCTCAAGTGAATATAGGCCTTGAATTCTGCTATTCTTCAATTGTCTGCTCTCAACATAACGATGCTCTGAAAAAAAGAAAGGTATCAACAAGAGGAACTATGAAAATATCCCCTCACCACCACTCTTGCCTACTGTAAAAATGACTAAACAGATTGTTCTCAAATTTCCAAAATAATTTGCTTGTGGATAGAGGCTGAAAGAGATAGAAGACTCAAAGAAAAATTGAAGTGCATCCTTAATGATGGCTTTTCTTGTGCCTCTGTAACATAAATACTAAAACTAAAAAGACATTGTTTGGAGGAAGCTTGAGGTGCTGACCTTAAACAGCAAACACAATGGATTGCAGTTTTAGGTCTGGCGTTAATGGCCCCATTTTCAGCCACGCTGAGCAGCTATCACTTCCATTTTCATTTCAGCTGAGGTTGCTAGTGCTGAGCATGTCTGAAAATCAGACTATTATCTATTATCCTATACTATGTTTTCTAGGTGGAGAGGCATAAAATCACATAGCGTTGTTGCTCATATTACATCTGTTTTGAGTCCTTTGCAATATCCACATACAACAGAATGAGCTAAGGACCCAGTGCCAGTGTTAATACTCCAAAATCTACTGCTTTTTCTGATTTTTGTTAGATCCCCTCCATGTTCCTCAATAAGCTTCCAAAACAAAAGAATCTTTGAAAATAGCAACATGAGTAAATTTTTCCTCATTGCTGAAGAAATCACATAAATTTCCTGGCAGGTATTTAGAACATAAATATGAACGCTGTCCTAAAACAGGTCCTATTTAAGCTTAGCAGTGTTCAGGCTTTTTGGTCATTGGACTTGTTTGCAATTGCAGTGTTACAGAACTGTAGCTGAAATACAATACTGTATTATTTATACGAAACACCACTGGAAGGTGCATGCAGTCAGTATACAGTAAGAACATGATGCATTGTGAACTGCAGCGCTCATATAAGTTTGACTGCATAAAGCATTGTAATAGTCTCATTATGTGGGGTTTTTTAAAGTATATTTCCAATAGCTTCTTTTCCAGCACAGAAAAACTCAGACATCCTAGGCCTCCACTGCTTGTTTTTCAACAGACTTAGATACAGACATTCTTTACCTTTTCCTGTACAGCAGAGAAAAAGTAACACAAATCAATAGTTCAGCCTCCTCAATGCTGAAAGCTAAATATTAACAAAGACTTTGAAACTCATTTCATTATATGGCAAGCTCATGAGACTCACCATAGTATCCCAATGCTAGTCCATTACGTAAGGCCGCCCAACCTAACCACCTGAGTAAAGAGCAATCAGTGTACGGCATTAAGGGAGGTGCAATCTGTATCAGGTACTGCAGACTGCAGTAGTAGAGAGTAACTAATGAAGAGTGAAGGGGAATTTGCATGCAGTGAAGTGGTGAAACAGCCACATGGCAAAAAGCGAAGGAGTCACTGTTGCCTGAAGGTTACCACTGAGTAGCTGGGCCAGCGTAACTGATGGTACATGTGCTCTTCAATCACCCCACTGCCATATAAAAGGCCAGTTTTTCTATGGGGATTTTGCAGTTGGGAAAGGATAAGGCAATCAGTGTTAGCAGCTCAAATAGCAATGATTTATTACATCACAGATATTTGATCTCTTTTATTTGCTTTTACAGGCCAGCCCAGACCCAACTATACCCATCCTCCAGCCTACATAAAATCCCCTACACTGCAGAAAATGGGATTACCACACCATTTTTTTCCTTCATAACAGCACAGAAGACATTTTGGTTTTATATGCAGGCATGCACACACAGCTCACACTGACGTAGGTGCTGCATGTTTTCCTCACCGTAAGGCCATATCTACACGTCAGTACCACTGTAACTGCAAATGCGATTTCTCCAGTATACTTCACAGGAAGCATCAGGGACTTCAATTCACTAGGAACTCTGATTCTAGTGGGGAAGAGAGTTTGCAGGCTGCCTAGCAAACTGAAGTCAGTAGACAAGGACATGCCATGAGAAGGCCCCCATCACCTTAACCAAAAAGCTAACTGACTGCTTTGGCACTTATAGAAAGATTTGCACCTATAGAGAAGGTAATACATTCTTTTAAATCTTTTAAATACTTGCACGCTTTTGTGAGAAACACAATTCCCAGCTTGTGATCTACACAGGATATCTGCAACAGCTTAAAGGTCAGCGTCAGCACTGCAGGCAGCCCCAGAGCGTACAAAAACTAGTGTCTCTTAGACTGATTTCAGGTTCAGCCTTTGTACATGGTGGCCCATAATAATAGGAGATGTATGAATGCATACATATACACCAATATACATGTACTGTGGGAGCACCACAAGACACCAGCAGAGAGTATACACATAACGAAACACATAATAAAAGCCAGCTTTTACAGGTGGAAAACTGAGGTACAACTGAGATGTCTTCAACCATTTTGGGGGAAAATTATTAAGGCGGCTGTGGAAGAGCCAGGAACCAAACTATTGCCTAGTGTCCTCACTGTGTGATCATCCTCCTGCATCCATCTGTCTGCGTATTAGGAAGATGCAACTTTCATCCACGTGCATGTGTGTGTTACTTCTGGTAGCTGGTGCTCAGAGAAGGTAAGTGCCCTGCTAATTGTAAGAGGTATTTTGCTAGACCAAGTGCCAAAACACCCAGACTCTATGATCTCCACTGATCATTAAATGTAGTAAAAGTTATATCTTCAGTTTTCTGCACATAAGACTTCACCTTGCATAGGCAGAACCTGAGGTTCCACTAATGAGTGCAATGACTTTTCACTACTATACTACTTTTTTTTTAAATCTTCACATAGTAAGACATGCTTTATAGTCCAGCAATTGAATTATAAATCTCAGTCCATATACTGTGGACAAACAGCTTGGAAATTGACATTTATAATGAATGCTGCTTTCCTAGACAGACACATGCACGTAGAGTATCCAAAAGGGCTATTTTTGGACATTCCTTTAATTAAGAAGAGGAGAGAGGAGTTTGGGGAAAAAAACACCCATGCTGATTTTAATCAAGTTTTGTTGACTAGGTAAAGGACATTTAAAGTATCTCTTCAAGGAAAGAATTAGATTGCGAAATTTTAGCTAAATGAGCATTTTAACAACTGGGGTAAAACCAGCATTTAAGAAGGAAACCCTGACAGACAAAAAATGAAAGGAGCTAATTCAACACACAAAAACAG